TAGTCATCAGTGGAAGAAAAGATGTTGATTTCACCTTGAAATTTACATCTGCCTAGTAACCATAATCAAGAGATGATACATTCTATAAACAACTGCTGTTCTGAGTTGTTTTTCCTGATACACTATGCTATTTGGCAGTTAATTTTGTTTTATAGCTGTTTAATTCTATAATAAAATGGAAAAGCCCACCTACTTACATTTTCGATTTCCTTCTGAGAACAGTAGTGTGTGTTGCACAGGCAGGGGGTAGCTCACAAGGTAATTGGTCTGTGATGACCAGAGGTCCCCTGTACCATCTGGTCCAAGGACACCAAGTGGCTAATAGGTAAGTTGGCTGCAACAGGTTAAAGGATGAAAGAAAGGAAGAGAAGGAAAGAGAAAGCAGGCAGGCAGGCAAATGGATTTTCACTGGGCTCAGTCTTCCTCCCTGGCAGGGAGAGTGCAACATTTCCAGAAGGGGCTCCAAGTCCTCTGGGGACTTTGATTTATGAAGATTTACTCCCTCTCCCTTTGTGAAGCTGTTAGCAGAAAATGCTGACTGGCTGCAGCAAAGAATTTCTCATCAATGCTCTTTGATTGTATTTTGCAAACAAAATGCCTGTTGCTTGGTAACATTTCACTTGAGCCTGACCTTCTCTGAAAGTTATTGCTATAAGATTCGATTTACACTGTCCTCCTGTGATTACTGTAATCTTTTAAACCTGGGAGTTCATCCATCAGGGAAAGGAAAAGTTGGTTGTATAAGTGGAGAGCAGGGCCATCCTCCAGATTTACAGCACCCACAGTATGCTGGGGATTCTCTCCCAGAGGGCCATGGACTCTGGGTCCTAGTCCCCAGTCCTCAGCTGCACAAGAGGACCCCAGCGACATCCCACACTCCTCCCTGCAGCTGGCTCCTCACAGAGAACCGAGCCATCAGGCAAACAGGAGCCCAGGTCTAGCGTGGCCAGATCAAATGACGGACATCCAGTTAAACTTGAGCTTCAGAAAAATAACGAAGGGGTTTCAGTATAAGGATGGCCCCTGCTATATTTGGCACCCCTGTTTTGTGGTTTTGCTAAAGCTAATAACTCACATCGCAGAGCTCCTGCCTTTGGAAGCTCCGGGAGAGCAAGGAGGGAGCTGTGGCCCAAAAGCCCAGGAGGAAGGGCTCCTGCCACCTGCTCCGTGCCCAGTGGCAGGTAATGCTGGCCCCAGTGGTAAGCCCCCGGACGGAGGAGCAAAGGGACCACCGACCACCCACGCTGTGGCCCCAGCCTCTCCTGAGGTCCCCATCAGTCCATCTAGGGAGAGGAAAGGTCTGTGCCTAGTGGCCAGGGTCCCCCGACCTGGGTCACCAGCTCCTGGTACCCGTCCCAGCGTAAATTGCCCCCTCAAGGCCCAGGTTGACTACCCCCACATCCCACTCCCAGAGCCAGCTCTGGACCAAGGTTTGGCGGTGACAGCATTGCCATTTCTTTTTATCTGTTCTTGTTTAAACCGCCCCCCCCTAAATCAAGCCATCTTAAAATCAGACTAGTTTTTCACTTCCTAGGTACACTTTACAGATGACTTTTAATTCTACCCCATTCCCTCCTACCCAGTCATAGATGGTTTCCCTTCCTGGCTTGGATGAGTACAACCCTAATACCGAGGAGCACGTTTTTCTCTTTAGGAAAAAAAGAATGAAGCAAAATTAAAAATAAGGAAGAAGACCGTGAAGATGCATTCAAGATGGAGCTGAAAACTCCAGAGCAAACAGGAAGATGCCAGAGGTAAACAATAACATAAAATAAAGGCAGATTTCCAAAATCTCCCACCTCCTCCCCTTGTTCCTACCTTGTTTGCCCCTTTCATTAAATATGAGGTCCTATTTTCTTATTCAATCCAGCAGTCTGTTATGTTTTCCATTTACTTTTCCTTCAAGGACATTGAAAAGAAATTGCACACATATTTATTTTGATGGCAGATGCTGACCCAGGAAGAATGTACAGCCACCATAGCCTGTGGCCACTCAGGATACTCTTCTGCAGGAAAAGTCTGGGGGAAGGAAGGGGGCCACAACACAGGAATTCAACTGCAGCTTCTCACCTTGGCCGTGACCCTTAACTTCCCTCAACTCTAGAGCCCAGGGTCCTGAAAGGCTGGCTGGGCTGGTGGAGAATGCTGATTCAGACACACCAACAGCTGAAAGATGTCTGTGCTTCCTACGCTGTTTCCGTCAGGGAAGGAGTATGAGAAGATTGAGGGAATTTAGAAGAAGAAAATTCCATAGTATATATAGAGAAGATCAAGTTAGAATTTGGGGCTCAATCAACAAAATCCAACAATTCCAACTCAATCACAGATAGTTATCAAGGAGCAGGAGAAAGCTACAAAAAATAATTCAATCCATAGCTAGAAGTAATAACCAATAAGCTATGGAAATTCTTAAAATCACAATGGAATGGATGCTCAATGATGCTACATCTTTACATAAAATAACTGCTGTCCCTTTAAAGAATCTGAAGTGGAATTTGGGAAAGATTTCTTCCAAGCACAAAACTGAGTTTGGCATGAATGTGTTTTCCTTCAATCTGTGTTTTTGTTTTGTTTCTCCACAACCCTCCCCCACCCCACCCTGCCTGGGATGCGCAGTGAACATCCTTCCTAAGCCATGTGCTTTTCTCAAAGATTTCTTGAGGAAAAGACGCCATGTGCTGATGCACCTGCATTTGTATCCAAGGGGGAAAAAAACTTTCCATTGCTATGTACTAAAGGGACCTTTTGCCCTACAAAAAGTCCAATCAGGTTTTAAAAATCAAATTCGCAAAGAAGTAGACCTACACAATTTGCCAGCAGACATTTAGAGATTCCTGATGGTCTGAGCATTTACTGTTCACATGGACCTACCCGTCAAACAGAGCTTCCTTTACTCTCCACACACAGTGAGCTTCTTCTGCAGAAGTATATTATAAGAACAACAACAGAAAAGGTATCAGGCATTCTGCAACAGGCAGCCTCAACCAAGAGTCTTCTTTAATTTAAACTTCAAACAGACTTTCTCCTTACATAGAACCGATCCACTTATATGCACAGATTCCTAGTGGGAAACAATGATCTGTTCTTTTCTGATCCCCCTCCCCCATCACTGGATTGGTGACTGCTAATTTTTTTAAGAATGGAATTATGAGGAGGGGTAATCAAATCAATTGAAAAAAAAACCCTTGTGTAAATGAATTTACAAGTGGTATGACTACTGCTAAAACTGAGCCCTGTTCCTTCACAGAACTGCCACTCGAAGCCTAGTCCTGCTCTAGTCCTGGAGGAAGTAGAGGCAGAGAAACTGGAAATGGGAAACGAAGAAAAGACTCCTAGTATGGTGGCTGGTGGTGCACGTCTGCAATCCCAGCACTTAGGAGACTGAGACAGGAGGAACTCAAGTTTGAGGCTGGCCTGAGCTATGCACCATGTCTCAGGGCAGCCCAGGATACATAGCAAGACCCTGTCTTAAAAAAAAAAAAAAAAAGAAAGAAAGAAAGAAAAGGTATTAGCACAGAATCCATTTTAGAGCTGAGACCAAAACTCTCCTAGTTACTTTTCTGTTCCAAGTTGGGGGGGCGGTAGTGGTACAAAACACAAAACTAGAAAATCCTCTTTTCCCCTGTAGCAAATCCATAAATATAAGGATATGAGAGACAAAAGGGGTAACTGGGGGTATGCCTCAGAGAAATGTTTGTATGTTCCCCTGTACTAAATATCCACAAAACCTATGTTCAGCAAATTCTTCTGTTCTTAAAACACCAGTGCTGCCTCTCACATCTGCTGTTCTCAGTGCTTCAGGCCTAGAGAGCAGAACTGAGTTCCCAATTAACTCACCCCAAATCCAGTGAGTGAGTTTCTCCAGTGCTCATGAAAGCCACTGCTCTCCAGAAGTCAGGGGTACTGTCTTTTGGTGGGGAGGAAGAGCGGGTGTGGGCAGCAGCTCTACCTCAGGAAGGCCCACTTCCCACCTGTACCTCATGAAAGGAAAACACCAAGTTCAATAAATTCCAAGAGCCATCAGGGGACTGTTTGGGCTGGGCAGGATCAGGACAGAAGCTAGAGGTTTCCCAAGAAGAAAGAGTCTTAAGACTCAACTGAGGTGAGCCCACCTCAGGAGGCCCTAAGGAAGAGATCGATGGAAGGGAGGCGAATACCCACCTCCAGGGCTCAGAACAGACCCTTCTCCCTAAAGCACTGCGGAGGAGGAGAGAGAGAGAAGAGGGGAGAGGAGAGCAGAGGGCAAGAAAACCCGTGTTCCAGACCTTGGCTTTGCAGCTGAGGCCCAAGCCCTAACCTAGTATAAAGGGCTTGCCAGGATTCCTCAACCAACTTTTGTTTTTATTTCTTCCAACCACAACGACAGCAGAGATGGCCTAGGGAACTGTATCCTGGGCAGGCTAGGTTCTCGGTCCTGCTATCAGCTTAGAAGACTTTCGAGACCTTTTAACCAAATTGTAAGTCTTGGTAGCCAATGAATACAACTAAAAACTTTACAGCTGCTCCCAAGTTGGAGAAAACGCATCCTGGCTCCAAAGTCTCTGACACGAGGCAAGAAGCAAGTCCCAACCCCAAGTCAGTCAAGCATTGGGCCTTGTCTCTTAACTGGCACCCACCTACTCCAACCCCAAATGTGGGGCCTCTAAAACGCGCAGCCAGGAAAACCCGATCGACAGAGTTTGTGAGAGTGAGAATTAAAATTTGGTGGTGTCCGGGCCTCTTTTACGGCTCAATTTGACACGTTCCACTTAACCAGGAGAAGGCACCCAGCAATCTCGCCACTCAGTCTCGCCTTTTAGCTCGCCTTTCCCATGGGCACCTACGTCCCAGCTGCGCCAAGTCGGGATTCAAGGTTGACTTTTCCCGGGAAAGAAAGAACCAGATTTATAAGGGTTGGGGAGGTAGGCCTGGCCAGGCCAACTTCCCAAACACCTGCCTCTGGCAAGCACTCAAAGTTCTCCAGTCGCCTGGCCGAGTTCAGGCACTGCAGACGCTCTTACCTGGCTTGGCAAGCTGCGCCTGCAGCGCCCCGGGCTGGGGCTCAGTGGCCCAGCGCAGCGCGGCGGCTGCAGCCAACTCGACGGCTGGGCGAGGCGGTGGTGGCTGAGGCTGAGACGGCTGCGAGGCTGGCGGCGGCTGAGGGGTGACAGAGGCATCTCCAGGCGGCGGGGGCCCGGGCAGAGCGCGCAGCGAGTCGGGGATGAGACTCTCCAGGCTCTCGTTGGCTTGCTGCCGGCGCAGCGCCACCTGTGCCGCCATGACCCGCTGCCGCTCGATGATCAGGATGCACTTCTCGCAGGTGCAGTCCTTGAAGCGGCAGTAGCGCTTGTGGCCCTTGAGCCAGGACAGCACGCCGTGGTTACGGCAACGCGCACACTTTGGCGTGCGCTGCAGGGGCGCTCGCGGCGGCTGCGACACGGGGCCGCCCATGTACAGGTAGGGAGAGCCGTAGCCGTTCATGCCCAGGGCTCCCGGAAGAGTTGGCGGGTCGCAGGCGGGAGCAGGCCAGAGGGCGCTGGACCGCGGGGCTGGGAGGCCCGCTCGGGGGCGGCCTGCGAGTGGCGCGGCCCCTGGTCCCGCAGCCCCAGCGGCAGCGTGCGTTCCGGGACGGCCGGAGGTACAGCTGCAGTCTCTCCAGCTCCGGAGGCGATCACTGCCTCGGCTCCCGGCTGGTGCCCAGCCAATCCCCACGAGGGCCGCGTCTCTGCGGGCTGCTGCTTTGGGCACACAGCCCTACCGGCACGTCCTCCTACGCCGAGGCGCTGCGACCGCTGCCAGGAGCCGGCGGGAGCTCTGATTGCGGTCTGAGCTAGCTAGTCTGCAGCTCGCGTCGCGTCTTCGCTGGCCGGGCCCAGCACCTCCTCCGCCGCCCTCCCCCAGCCCCTCCTCCCTCCCACCGCCACCCCCACCCCCGGGGTCTCGGTCTCCTTGCACTCGCCGCCCCACTCCTTCCTTCTTCCTTGCACCCTTCGGCTCCGTGCACTTCACTTTCCTTGCCACCTGCAGCCAAGCCACTCTCGCGGGGGCGCTCACGGCCCCCTCCGCCGAGCCCTCTCCGCTACCCCTTCCCGCGGCAGGGGACTGCGGCGCTTGGAACACCGAGAGACTCAAGGGGCAGGGAAGGGGAGGACCGGTGGAGTGAGGGTGGGGGTGCCATCCGGAGGCTGGTCTCCGTTCTCATCTCCCTCCAGGCCACTTTTATCCCAACATTTGGCCACAGAAACTCGGCTTCTCAAGGACCGGAGCTTGCGAGAGCGTTGCGGGTGCACCCAGGACCCGGCGCGGGCTAACCAGGTTTCAAGTTAGAGGCGAGTCAGCCACCGCGGCCACTGGCGGGTGGAGTTGGGGGAAAGGGGTTGGTATGGATTCGGGAAATTTTGGGCTGTTTTCTTGATTTCATTTGCAACGTATTTTTTTTTTCCTCTATTGTGGCTGCAGAAGAAAATGAGTATTTTTGAAAACCTGCCCGCCTAAGAAAACCCATTTTGAAGGCAAATTTTGTTTTTCTACCCTATTCCCTCCGTTTTTAAATTAAAAAGTCTCTGCCTTGTAAGGCCGGGGAAGCGCTTGAGTTTTGCTTGGGCACGGGAGTCTAAACTTTCAGAGAGCGGATGCAGAGGCCACTTTAGTATCCCTCCAAATTACCGATATGGTCTCCTCGTCCTCCCCATCCCCAATGGAGGTCTCGCATTACCCAATTCAAATCCCCACGGACGCGGCGATGGAGCCAGCCCCAGGCCATAGACCCCATCCAGAAGTGAGATGCGAAGGGACTATTGCACGAGTGACAACATAAAACTTTTTTTTTCCTATACAGACTAAAACTTTGTTTACACTGTTATTTTGCCTGTTTCCAGTCGCTGTGAGTACGGGTTTGGTCTAATGCAGGCCACATGCCTATAGGAATGGCCAAAGTCCCCCCCACCTTCAACAAACTGGTGTATACTTTAGGCGCTGGGCAGTAAATGGCTCTGGACGAAGGGAAAGGCGGCAGTTCTGGACTCGTTTGTTCGAAGCCCTTGGGGGCCTGTGCTAAACTCGTCTTCTGGCGGTGTGGGCGAACCCAATGATAGATGAAAGCATACAGAGAGTGTTACAACGCCAGATCCCTGGGCTTCGCAGAGGCCCTTGTCCTCTCGGGAGGCCGCTTTTCCCTGCGTTGGGAGCCAGCAAGCAACACATGTTCCTCCCAGTTCGCTGTGAATTCAAGTACTGCACGGTCTAGAAGGGCGATTTAGGAAGGGAAGAAGTTAAAAGGGAAACCCGGGTGTGTGCGTTTTCCTTGAAGCCCTTAGCCTTTAGGGTTTCAGACGTGTAGGGAATTGGGGTTTGCCGAAGGCTGACCTGGTGGGGCGTGGGCAAGAAACGCTTGCAGAAGTGCTAACCCTGGGACAACTTTCCCGAAGCCTCCTCCGGCAGGGACCCCTGGGCCTTGCCCCTTCCCCCACCCTGTTAATCCCTCCTCTCCTCCCACCTTTCGCTAGGAAAACAAGCCCTAAAACCCTACAACTGGAAGGAATTTCGTAAGCTCTCCAGACTGGAGGCAGAGGTCACCGCGGCCCGGTGGGCCTAAGGCAGGGAAGTGGGAGTGACAGCGAGTCAGTTCACGTGACGAGAGGTATAGAGGTCTGCGAATGCCCGAGAATCTGGGAACTTTGGCCCTGAATTCCCCGGTCTCTTGGAAATTCGGTAACCTGTCTTTTTACAAAGCCAAATTTCTCCAAATGGTTAGAGAAACGGATAAGAAAGTGGGAATAAGTAGTTATTGTTGTTTTGTTTTGTTTTAAAAGGAACACAGCAGAGTTCTGCACCATTTGTGGGGACATTTTCACTCTCAAGGCAGCCCCCTGGCCTTCCTTGGTCACCTAGCCACCCTATCCGATGCCACTCACACAGTATGGCATTATTTGGTCCCGGGGCCCCGTTTCACTCCAGTGCACATCGGGGGCTGAGATCTAAATACTCATTTGATATAGCGCAGTAATCCTTGTCTCATATTTGATGGGAATGTTTTCCATATCCCAGTATTTGACAACATCTCCCTATAGGGACAGGTTTGTATTTATGTTGGTAAAATGTCCCCTGCCTCAAAGTCTATTGTAACCCAACACCTGACAACCCCGAGTCCCATTTCTGTTTGCAGAAAGGGTTTATTCAAGCACATAATGGGATCCCAGCAGAAAGCCTTTCAGAACAGGGGACTATGGTAAACTTCACCACATGAACTCCGTTTCCAGGGCTATTAAGCTTTTAATTGGAAAATAGCAGAGGAAATTTCAAGGTGACTATAACGTGTTAGCAGTTAGTGCAGAGAAGAAAAGCCGATGCGGGAATGAATGTAGAAAGCATATGGTCCAAATCACACTTAGGACAAGCGGCTCGCTTCTGCTAAGTCTCGGCAGCTTATGCACTTATGGGAAAAAATCATCAAAGACATGGGGAAGGGAGGAGGGCGGGTTACAAGTAAATGTAACCTCGCTTGAGCAGACCACTTGAGCTCTCATCTGGGTGGTGTGATTGTGTTTTCACACCACAGTTAACTGGGTAGGATTGTGGCAGGTATTTCATAGTGACAGGGTGAACGCTAATGTGCACATCCACATGGTGCGTGTGTTTCTGAAGCAGGTGCCCTTGATGAGAAAGTGAGAACGTCTGACTCCAAATCTGCAAGTCCTGGTCCCCCAAGCAACGAAGTAATCAAAAGGACAGTTTCAGGTTGTCCAGGATGTATGACATATCAAGAAAATTTCTGCTTTGCTGGATTCTCCTGGAGGGGAAGTCGGGGGTTCTTATTTTGTTGTGTATATCGCGACCTTTGTGACGTTGGTGTGCAGAAAGCCCCCTCTCGCTGAGTGGGAACATAGGAAGCGCGACTAGGCACTCGCCCAGTCCCGGCCTCATGGCATCGCCCTTTGGCTAGCTCCAAATTGAAAGGTGGTGTGGGGGTGGGGGGGGCGGGGAATGTCTAGCCCGGCGGTAGAGCGTCCAGCAATCGATTTCTGGAGGTGGCAGTAATGTCCTTGGTCTCCCTCTGCTAGTGTGTATGTGGGGGGAGAGGCTCGAGTGCACCCATCATGGGATCCCTGAAGCCTCCCTCTGGCACGCGAGGTAGAGGGCGACTGAACCCGTGTCGGGCAGGTCTGCGTGTCATCACTGGACAGTCATGTCCCCACAGCATTTTGGAAGAGAAGGAGACAGGTTAAAGTGGGAAGCCAGCTCCGGATGTTCAGGAGCAGAGGCCGTGTAGATCAAATCGCCTGTGACCCCTCTGGTCCCTGCAGGTGCTGCTAGGTCCTTCAAGTACTAAACTTACTAGAACTGTCTTGTCAAGACCCACAGAGGCTCAGCCTGGAAGCACGCTCGACCCAGCCTGGACTCAGACCGTGCCACTAACACCTGGGGCTGGGGTCGCTCCTGTGTAGCTTTCTCAACCCTGTGCTTTCCAAGAGACAGAAAAGCGACCACTTGCTCCCAAAGCCGGCGGCCTCCCCTGCCTATTTGGAGAGGGGGAACCTGCTTGATTTATGAGAGAGAAGTAAGGAGAGGAGAGGAGAGGAGGGAGAAAGGGAGGGAGAAAGGGAGAGAGACTTTTCTTTTGCAAGGTGAAAGCAGTACCGACTTTAAAACTGTTCGCTTATATAACCTTTCTCCTGCGACTTAAAAACAAAAGGCTGGCGGGTCATGATTCCTTTAATGAAGCGAAGAGGACGAGACAGGAGGATCACGAGTTCCAGACCAGCCTGGCTACTCTTGGGCTGGAAGTGTCTCAAGCTGTAGAGCATCTGCCTAGCAAGTACCGAAACAAAACCCAGTACCGAAAAAAAAAAAAAAACCTAGGAAATCATGTTAGGTAGTTTGAGCAACATTGAAGGGGCTAAGAAGAAGGTTTCTTTTCCCCAAAGCCTTCGATGGGGCGCTGAGTACACTACCCCAAGAACACCCACTTTTTCTAGAAAACTCTCCAGCCTGCTCCCTCCCTTGCTGTTTCTGCGGGAACGGCGCACGCACGTGAGCAACAGAGGAAAAGAGTCCCGGGACTCGCGATCGAGGTGAAAGGGCGAGCGGCGGGAATCCGCCGCGCTGCCAGCATCCTAGGGAGAATGGGTGCAAGCTCGAGGCGGGAAAGCTACGCAGCTTGGCTATGTCTGGATGTGGGGACAAACGGTAAGGGGGGGACAAACGGTAAGGGAGGCCCACGCCGGACGAAAGCAGGCCGGCAGCCCGCCCAGGATTGCGCTCCCAGCTCTGGAGCCGCCTGGGCGGGGCGACCTTCCGGAGCGCTCTCGCCCCGCCTACGCAGGACGACACGCCCACTGCCCTGCTCGCCCCGCCCACCCCGGCCTCGGGGCCAGCAATTTGGAAGAGTAAAAAAGTTTACTGGTTGTTTTGGGCGGGGTGGGCTCGGGTGGCTGAGTGGGGACCCGAGCCTCTTCCATCAGGTGGGGGGAGGGGTGTATTTTCCAAGGCGTGAATCGCGTG